TGAGAAAAAAGTGTCACTTCCTCAGGGAAATTTCTCACAGCCTTAATAGGTTAAAACCTATGCTATCATGTATTCTCCTAAATAACACGTGGCATATTATGACTTTGCATTTGTTTATGATCTGTCTCACTGACTGAACTGTAAAGACCGTGTCAGCAAGAATGTTGTCTGCTATTAGATAACCTTTTATCTCCAGTGCCTAGTGTAGTGCCTGACACATAGTGGGCACTCAATAAATACTTGTTCAATGAATAAGAGATAAAGAAGTGAATGAATAACATGATATACGTAAGAAAATAATATGTTCAATAAGAGAAGTCCCGCCAAAGCACTAGGAATTCAGAGGAATAAATGAATTCCCCAAATGACTAAGTGTAGAATACATGAAGGTGACAACTATTATTGCATTCCTTGAAGAAGGCAGAGGCTGAGAATTCTGCCACATCACATTGGATGATACAAATTCTGACAATCTGCGATGATGAGCCTCTGTCTGACAAAGTGTATTTCATTAAGCACTCCCGTGAATCACCCCAGTGAATCACCTCATAGAAGGATCACATTTGCCATCATTATCATAAGATACTGGTGCTGATTCCATTAGGCCAAAGGGCTATCTTGGAATTCTCATATTAAAATCTCTGAAGATTATTATTTTGTCATTTGAAAGAACCATCTAGTTTGCTGGAATTTCATTTGAGGAACGCTGGGTCTTGATTATACAGGACAAGGTTGTAATGGTCCTGAGAGTTTACCATTAATAGCTCGTTGGTGTTGACAGGGTGAGAAGTGTTAATGCTGTAGTGTAAGTCATCACATCTTCAAACCACTTAATCCCTTCTTGCTAATGAGAGTCAGCCATTCTCAGCCTACATTAGACCTTAGTGCAGTCTCCAAGAGAAGAAAACCCCAAATGTGGGTGAAACTAGAACTGCTGGGGTAGGGGTGTGTGGTTGTCATTGCCCTTCAGGTCTCCTGAGCCACTTAGACCTCTGTCCCCATCTCATGCAGAGCTTCTACTCAGCCATAGGAGAGAGCCCTGTCTTCTGATGCCTTCTGAAATCTCCTGGACTGTACCTTCCAGGCACTTCGTTTGTGTTTAATAGGCAGAGTTATTATCGTCATCTCTCAGTAAATGTAGTGGAGTGACAAAACCTTCCCAATGCCCTGCCAATGATGTCACTCGCTTCTGTGGTGGTTGTGACTCTGTCGCTGCTGGTGAAGACCTTTCTCAGGAAAAGGAGCAAAGTCTGCAGGCTTTGTGCCAACAGTGTCCAACTCACTCCATAAACCAGCAGTTGTTGGGATGGTTTCTGCAGGGCAGATCTCTTGTTTCTTTAATCACTGGTAATAATGATGTTTTTGTCATATTAAAGGGGAAAGAAGAGAAGCGATTGAGAATCGTTTGAGAGGATGACTGTGCCGTCTCTCAGGTCCAGTGACAAGAGGACTACAATGGGTAGCTTTCAGAACTACATATGGTCTTCCTTCCGAGGGAGTTGATTAAGCGACTCCGGATGAAATTGAAATCCTGTGATTTGACCTTTGTCTGGCCTGGGAGGGCTGCAATTCGCATAACAATTTCCTTTTGTTCTTTGTTTGGAGTTATTAATCCAACATGAGCCTCGAATTAATCAGGGGTAGTGCATAGCTACATTTCTAATTCACAGCTCCGCTGCTTGTGTCTTTTTTAATTAAGGCCGAATGATAGCAGGCCTTAGCCCTGATTGCCACACTTGCTAACCACACATTGAGGGATGAAGAGGCTAAACAGGCAGAATGAGATTACTTCAAGGTTTCACTTAATTGTTTTCTTCCTTTAAGTAAAGAGCACCGCCTGAACATTGTTAATTCTGAACTGGGAGAGTTTCTTTTTGTCTGTTTTTACTTGTCTTGACTTTGGAAGAGGGTGGAGAGAAACCCAGGTTTGTGTTAGTAACCTCAGGTGTAATGATCAAAGGGATTACTCGAGTCATAATTTCAGTTATTGATTTGAACTACATCATCATGGGCCATCGGGGGTTGGTTAATGTTGAGGCCCAAGTCAAAGAACTTTGACCCTTAGTTATCTACATGTTGTATAGAGTTTGGTGCCTTTGATATACGTAAGGACTGCTCAACATTGATTCATCAAGATGTTGTAGGAGTAAATCAGTTTAAAAATGACTCTAATGTGACTTACATTTTCCAGAATTCAGTATCACATGGTTCTTTTACTTTGTTCAAAGGGATTTAATTACTAAAAGGGCCTAATTATAGTTTAGCTTCACCAAACTTGCTTTGGCACACAGTGTGGAACCAGGATGCATCCACGTGAGGTTTTAGTAATAACTTTTTCCCCTTTGGTAAAAGTAATTAATTGCCTCCATTCCCTCAACTGCTTCTCGTAGTTTAAGAGGGAAATATAATTTACAGATCTAGATCAAATGATGTTAAGTAAAATGGAGCTTCAGTTCACCAAGTTACTAAGCCTTTCCCTGGAAGAAAGTGGCTTCTTAGAGTAGTAAATCATCTCTGAGACACTGGGCACATTCAATTAACCGCAGTTGCAGTGAGCTTGTGAGGATTGTTGTACAACTCCACAGGTAACTTACTTCCACCTCCAAGTGTCTGACTAACCTCGGAGAAATTGACTCTTCATCACTATATATTTTAAGCTTTACACAAAGATGCAGTGTGAAATAAACATAGCTGTTCACTTGCTCTATGACCATTTCCTTTCTGAGACTCAGGCCTCAGAATAAACAAACAACAAACAAATAACAGGACGTTGGCCCAGAGGATCTCTATGGTTCCTTTCATCTTTAAAACTATAATTCTATATATCTGTAATTCATTTCCAATCGCAGATTTGGCAATTTATTTTTCTAGTTCTGTTTTGGATCTATGAAAATTAGTAGGACTCCCTTGGGTAGAGATGTCTGTATATTATCTAAAGAATTAAAGGCTGGAAAGCATTTTTATTTAAATGCATTGTAGTTGGGCAAGGTGGCTCATGCCTGTAATCCTAGCACTTTGGGAGGCCAAGGCAGGAGGATGGCTCGAGTTCAGGAGTTCGAGACCAGCCTGGGCAACATAGTGAGGCCTTATCTCTACAACATATTTTTTTTCTAAAAATTAGATGGGCACGGTGGCATGCGAGACCAGCCTGGGCAACTTAGTGAGACCTCATCTGTACAACGTATTTTTTTTCTAAAAATTAGATGGGCATGGTGGCATGTAGCTGTAGTCTCAGCTACCAGGTGGTGGAGGGGGACGGTTGCTAGTGCCCAGAAGGTTGAGGCTGTAGTGAGCCGTGATAGTGCCACTACACTTCAGCTTGGGTTACACAGTGAGACCCTGTCTCAAAAAAATGCAGGATTATATGTTAAATTGATCAATGTCATATTGTGTTTGCTAATTTTTGAATAAGAATTCTGTGTGAAGGGGAGTATTTTAGAGAATATAATTTAATTTCTAGAGGAAAGGACATTGAACTGGGAGTCAGGGAACCTCATGCCAGATTATAGCTCTGCTTTTTTTTTTTTTTTTTTTTTTTTTTGAGACAGTCTTTCTCTGTCACCAAGGCTGGAGTGCAATGGGTGAGATCTCAGCTAACTGCAACCTCCACCTCCCAGGTTCAAGAGATTCTCCTGCCTCAGTCTCCTGAGAAACTGGGATTACAGACACATGTCACCATGCCCAGCTAATTTTTGTATTTTGTATTTTTAGTAGGGTTTTGCCATGTTGGTCAGGGTGGTCTTGAACTCCTGACCTCAGGTGATCCGCACGCCTCGGCCTCCCAAAGTACTGGGATTACAGGCATGAGCCACTGCACCCGGCCACCTCTGCTCTTGTAAATATGACCTAAAGTGTTGAAGTCTCATTTCCAACTTATGCAAAATTAAGATTCCTTCCAAGCCTGATTTTCTGTAATTCTAATAATTTCATCACAATTAGGACTTTGAAACCAATGCATCAGATATGTTGAATATTATGTTTTTCTTTCCTAAAATATTTTCAGCTGTTTATGGATAAATACATAGAAAAATACAGGTTAAAAAATGATAAGCAAATGATAAAACAGCAACAAACTGCAAGGGAGAAGGTATTTTAGTCCATATTTTAAATTCTAATTTTCACTTTTAGAATCTTTTAGAAGAGGCTGTGAAGTGGACACGATCAGGGAGGCTGGGCTGAAAAGAAGAATCTCTGGGAAAGCAGGTGATGTGGGGGCAGATAAAGGAAGATGGAGGTGTGAAGGAAGGATTGAAGAGGATAAGACTGATTTGTGCATGTGTATATTGGTTTAGGAGAATGAGCTGGTAGAACAGAAGACAAAAGAAGGTTTGGGAAAAACTGATGGAGCAAGATCCTGAGCTAATGTGAGCAGAGTGGATCCCAATCATTAGTGGGGGTTAACCTCAAACAGAGGGAAAGATGCCTAGTCCTCTGATAATGCATCTTTCCGGCAGAGATGTTTTAAGGAGGGTTGCAGAAAGTGATGTGTGTGTGGACGAGGCAGGTAGTACATCTCTATGGGAAGTGAGGTCATCTGAAAATGATGGTGATAGAGAAGTGAAGAAAATAGTGAAGGTTGGAGACAGCTGTGAAAATGAGTGAAAGGAGGTGTGAAAGGACAACTGAGAAGATTCTTGAATAGGGTTAAGAGCACAGGTCTGCCTGGGGTAGTGGCCCTGGTCTGTGGAGTTGCATTCTTTTCTTTTCTTTTTTTTATTATTATTATTATCATCATCATTATTATTATTATTATTTGAGATAGAGTCTCACTCTTCACTGAGTGTCAGGTTGGAGTGCAGTGGCACGATCTTGGCTTACTGCAACCTCCACCTCCTGTGTTCAAGTGATTCTCCTGCCTCAGTCTCCCAAGTAGCTGGGATTACAGGCGTGCACCACCACGCCCTGATAAATTTTTTTTGCATTTTTAATAGAGATGGGGTTTCACCGTGTTGGCCAGGCTGGTCTCGAACTTCTGGCCTCAAGTGATCCGCCTCCCTCAGCCTCCCAAAGTGCTGGGATTACAGGCATGACCCACCATGCCTAACCTGTTGCATGATTTTCTCCAGCTGAGTTCAGCTACCTCAGGTTGGATGTGCAGAAGAGACAGGTTGTTGGATTGAGTCAGGATGGGAGCTTCTGAAAAAGAAATGCACAGGGATAAAGAGGACCTTATATGCATTGGTGCCTTTGCCTTATTAATTCCTCAAACAATTTTAAAAGACAAACACAATTATTGATAGTTTAAAGAGTTGTTAAATGGGGCCACTAGAGTCTTGATAATGCCTCACAAACATTCTGGTCCCAACACTGTATACAGTCAGTTAATAGTTTAACACATACTTTTTCATTATTTCCACCAAAAATATTATATTGAGTCACTCAGTGAATTCTTTGGATAAGAACATTTCTTGTAAGTTTTACATAAAACTGAAAAGTAAAGTGGTTTTGGTGAGTAGGTCTCATTTTACAGTAAACATCAAATCTATGGAAAATCTAGAAGCAGAAACCCAGATAACTATGATCACCAATCTTTGGTTTTCAGCACGGTGTCACAGCCTTTTGCTCTCTTTCTCTGTTGACTGAGATTCAATTAAAAAAAAAAAAAAAAAAAAAAAAAGACTTTGGAAAAGGTTGATAGTCCTATGCAAGTCAGTATATTATGGCCACATTTCCAAAAGGCGGATGCCAAACTCTTTGGGGTTGTGATATACCCAGATGGTCTCCCTTTTTTTTGCGTTTCTGCAAATGTTATTACCAAATACAACAATTTTTCCTCCAAAGTCATTAGAGCCCATTTGGCACCTTCTCTAATCTGTCCTACTTGTTACCTTTTAATTACTCTGTGAGGGGATCTAGTTGTCTTGTTGTTGCTGAGGGCCAAATGACCAAGGGGTTAATGCTTTTTCTGTCCCTGGCCAATTGGTTTTTAGTCAGTAGTTATTTATGGGGAAGTCCAGGGACCATTAGTTCTCAAGTATGTGCAGCTGTACTCCTCACAATTACTCGTCCATAAGCAAATGTGGACTTACTTTTTGTGTATGGTTGTTTTTTTTTCCCCTGATTGGTTAGACAATCTGTTGCCATTTATGAATGATTCTTGTTGATGCAAAACATGGCATTGGATTCTGTTTTATTATTTGGATTCCATGTTTCATAGGGTGCTGTAATCTTGATTCAGACAAGGCACGAGGGTATGTACCTCCTGTCACTAGTGACAAATTGCTCCTGTGTAGCAAAATGTGAAATCTCGCCCACCGCATGTTAGCTGCACCATTCTCGCGAAATCAGCATAGGTGCTGATGATCCTCATTGTGAAATCACTGACTGGTTGGCCTTGGCCTTTCTTCCTCATGCTCTGTTCTTTTGGACATAAGGTAGAGATTACTATTAATGGTTCTTTCAGTTCCTAGGAGCTCCTCCCTCTGTGCTGTCTTACTGTGATTTTTTTTTCTGCCCCCATTGAATGGTAGTCTTTGATGTCACACAAGAGAATACTGTTGGCTAACAGTCTGGAGGCTGCTTCATTTGAGCTAACCACCACATGAAAACAAATGTGATCCATCATATTTCATTAACTAGCTGTCCTCCTTTTGGGTGCCCTTTTTTGATGTCAGAGTTGCATCCTGACAGGAATCAGAAAGATACGTGTGATTAAGAACAGTAATAATGCTTATTGCATTGTATTGTAAATTACCTTCCTGGGCCCTGCTACTTTACCAGCCCCACTGGCATTGGCTCCCGTACATTTTTGACTACTCAGTATATACAGTGTATTAGCGCAATGGAGATCATTATGTGGCCTGTATTTGAGTCATTTTTATTTAAGATGCCAAACAATAAGCTGTTGATTGGGGGAACAAGAGGCGAACAATAATGTTCTGTGTCACATAATACACCACCATTTTCCAGCTTTGCTTTAGAAGGGCCCTCTTTATTGTTTTTGTATAAAAATGGTTCTTAGGAGGAGGAATATTTTGCTGAGGTATGTCATTATTTTGCAAATTTCTATTATCTCATCATGTTGTCTTCATTGTAAATTGCAGCTAATTAGGAACCTAGTTAGAGCCCCAGCTTTGAGGCTGGCTTTTTTGTGAAAAGAGCCCACCGATTACCGCACTACAAGAGAGGAAGGGAGAGAAAAAGGAGATTAATCTGGTTACCTAGGCGACACTCGCTTCCATCTGCGAGGAACAATACATTTTTGTTTCCTTGGCTCAGTTCAGATCTGTTTTGTTTAGAGGGGGAAAAAAGGGAGAGAGAGAAAGAGAGAGAGAGAGACAGAAAGAGAAAGAGAGAGAGAGGGAAAGAGAGAACCTAGCTCCACAGCAATGATGAAATCTGCCTAGCCCAGGCTTATGTGCTTGATTCCTCTACAAGTTAGGGGTCTCTGGTGAGTGAGAACATGAAAGAGATAAGCTCCAAAGTTGTCAAAGGTCATGACCTTGCCACACAAAGCCAGCAGTTTTACCTCTAAATCCCCTTCTCCCAAAAAGCACTTAATGAAATAATATACTGTGCTTCTCAACACGCTGTAGTCTATATTAGGAACAAGGCCCCCAGATTGTGAATTTAAGGAGTCATTTAAAATTTCATACTAAATAATCAGTGATTATACGAAGCTACTTATGGGTCCAGGTTTTGTCTATGCAACTTAACTTAGACTTTTCTACTTTTGTTTTCTCCAAGTGACTTTCCCAAAACCTACCATTTTATTGTAACACACAATGTTTGAGGTATGAGTTGACTTTTCAATGGATGAAGCAAACCTATTGAATCTACCCAAGATCGAGGCTTATTAACTACTCAATTCCAGTTGCATTTGTTGGACATAAAACTTTTAATTCTTTAGAAGGGTGGCCATTTACTTCACTCAGACATGGGTGGTGCTGCCAGATTGTTTGCTGCCTTTTACATAGTCACCAGAGAAAGGGCTGAGGATGGAGCAGGAACTGAAAGAGGCTAAAAGGCTCAGAAATCTCAGGGCTTCTTTAGGCATGTTGGCTAAACCCACAGCCTCTGATGAGCATAATGCTTTCCCCATCATGTTCTCACAGGTTGGTATGCCATCATGCATAATGAGTAGTTACCCGGAAAGGTTATATGTGATGACATACAGTTAAAGGAGACTCTAAGAGAGGAACGTTGGCTTATCTGAGCTTTCCAGTCATAGAATGCATTGATGAAATAAGAGCAACTAGCTTATTTTAAAATGCCCTGTGGAATCCATGCTTCATACCTGTGGGTGTCTCCTCATCAGTTCTGTTTCTGAAATCCATTGCTAATAAAAGGAAAGTAAATCTTTTCATAAAAACTACAAGTCACGAAGGGTTCTCAGGTTCTTCTACACTAATAGACTAATAGACACTTCTCTTCAAATGGTATTACCCATCTCTCTCATCTTATTTGCAAATGGGAAGAAGATACCAACCCAAATTGATTCTGTGTTTATCACTCATCTAGCCATCTAGAACAGCTGTGCTTTGTCTTATTTCCACTATACCCTTTGGGCAGCTCCAAGTGGGGTATCTCATGTGAAATCGGATGTATACGTGGTCTTAGAAATCTATGAAAACCATTTAAACTATGGCATTCTAATTTGTTCTAATATTTACTGTATTTTACGGATAAAAATAATAAGCCTTACTTTATATCTCAAACTTCAGCCTTAAAAATGGTCTTCTATTTGTTATGCAGTTGAAGGAAATCAAATTAGTTTTGCAGTTTTCCCATGAGTCTCTCAAATAAGACCAGATGCAAATGAGTTCACTATAGCAGACCCTCCACAAGGATCTTCTCCAAGTATTTTTTTACTATGTAAAGGACAAATTACCAAATTCCACATTATCATTAAAAACTAGACCATCTTTCTGAAGTTTGGGAAACCAGGGTTGCTCTTGGCAATGGCAAAGATTAAATATGCAGATATGTTTTAGAAATTCTCTCTTTAAATTGACAGATGAAATGGTCTCTTCTTATCTACGAATGAACATTTTTTATTAAAATTTTTAAGCTGTCTTAGGTTTTGAGGGGACGTGTTCTCAATATCTCTTTTTTATTATGAAGAAAGTAAGTTTCGTAGATATACAGAGAAGTAGTTATAGCAGTTAAGTCAACACTGCTCAGACTAGCTTTCTTTATGGAAAGTATTGAAGCTCCAATGTGTACTTATTAAGAGGGCACCATTATATTTTTTCTTATCTGTTTGCAGAGTCAGTCCATCCAGTTCCTGCTCTTAAGCTTGACAAGAGTCACATACAGAACCTCATCTCTTTATAAAAGCTTTGATTGATAATATGCTGTGAAGGTAGGAAAATAAAATGTGAAGATGATTTAGTATGTGCAGAAACTTTTTTTGTTCACGTTGGATAAGACACAATTTTTGAACCACAAATGTATTAATTTTTTATGGGAATGAAGTGATCACCAAATGAGATGGCAACAGCTACTTATCAATATGACTTATCAATAGTTCATATTGCTTCTACTGAATAGGTTTATGGTGCTTCTGTTGAATAGATTTAGGAAGTGCTTGGTAGTTCTCCATTGCACTAGTGATGTCTCTTGTCTTCAACACTGATTTACGCCTGTTCACCCTAGACCTTAGGTATCCACCTCTTAGGATGTAATCTCTGATATTCTGCCCTAAAACAGTGGTTAAAAATGGATAGAGGAAAGAGTGCCACCTGCTGATTTCTCATCCTAAAGCAATTATGATTTCCTTGGAGGTTTATCAGACAAGATCTAGCAGTACCTGGTAGTATTTATTAAGCCATAGGTGACAAGTACAAAGCCTAGATTTGTAGGCTACGGTTTTGTAATCATGGTGTTATAAGGATGATTCAGAGATATGCAAGGATGGATCACAAAATGTTTTCCTTCACTTTAAAATTATCTACTGTGAATTATGGGTTTCAAAAAAATTCAAATCCATCATTTCGTCAGGTTTTTACATCTCATTGACAATTGCAGACAGTAGGACTTCCATGTCATATGAAATTTCCATGTCCTGAATGTCTTCTGGACTCTTTCCGGTGTGGAAAAATCTGTCTGATGTAAGTTACCTTTGTGATGTTGACTTGGAAACTGCCCGCATGAACAAGACTTCTTCATTCTGCTTTGCCAAGGGAACACACTTCATTCTAGTTGCTTGTGTCACTATGGAAAGAAGTTGCTTAAAGTAAAAATAAACAACCACTTGTCTCCTAAATAACCCATTTGCAAATTAAGATTCTAGAAATTTACCATTTCTGTTTCTTTCTGCCAAAGTCAGCAATTTGATGAAATTTTGTATTATTAGTACGTAATTACTCACAAAATCAAAAAAGTTAGCAAAAGTGATCTGTGGGTAAAGAACACATAAACTTCTAACTGTTGAATAAAATTTGAAGTCCTGGGAAAAATGTTCACCTGAATGTGATTCTGACATCCGATATCTCAGTTTAACTTTTTCTTTTTTTTACACTTGTATCAACGATTAATAGGAGACAATAATGTTTTCTCTTGTTAGTCAATTGGCAGAGGGAATGTTCCATGTTAATAGTCATTCATTTAGGAAGACTCCTAATATAAGTATCATTTAAAAAGTTGACCAAGATAATAAATAAACTGCAATAGGGGATAAGTTTCACTTCAGATAAATTATTTTACTATCCTTAACTGTTACTTTAGAATGGTCACTGTTAACCTGTGCCTCCAGTGTTAAGGTGATTTTAACTCCAGTCAACTCAAGCCTGAATCAGGTTGTAGGCACAGCAAGAAGAATGAGCAACAAGAGGTTTTTACCACAAAGGAATAACTCAAGAAATGGGCCAGAACTGTCAATATCTCTTCCTACTCTACAAAATAAAAGTTGTTAACAAAAAATATGGAATCTTCTTCTTTTGAGGAAGTAAAAAGGAAAGAATAGATACAAAGAAGGGAGAGAATTAGGAAAGAAAATACATAAGGAAATTTTTAGTCACAATGGGCTCATCTACAATTTTAGTAAAATAATACATATTTCCCAATCCTGAAACTATAGGAGACCATTATGAAGTTATTGATATGAATCACCATGGTGGCCACTTGTATTTAGGTAAAATAAATTCGAGTGTGTGTGAGTGTGTTTGCATGTACACATGTGAAATGTACACATGTGAATTGTATGTCAGATGAGGAACATTGTTTTCTATTTTTTTAAATTTGATTAATTGTAGATAATCTGCAAATAAGCAATCCTGCCTATATGTAAGTATCCCTGCTGTATTACAAGCAATTTTCTAAATAGGCTACTTCAGTTTATTGCTGCATCATTGTCATGATTTCCCCTTTATTAGAAAATAAATACTTCTGATACATAACTTCTTAAAACAAAAGTAGTGTTTAACAATTATGTTGTCCCTAGGATTTAGTTCACTGGTCTCTTTGGCATCTAAACCCTATTAATATTTCAGAATATTCTTCTTTTTTTTTTTTTTTGAAATGGAGCATGGCTCTGTCACCCAGGCTGGAGTGCAGGGGGTACGTTCTTGGCTCACTGCAGTCTCTGCCTCCCAGGTTCAGGCAATTCTTGTGCCTCAGCCTCTTGAGTAGCTGGGACTACAGGCATGTGCCACTACACTGGGCTAATTTTTTTTTTTTTTTTTTTTTGTATTTTTAGTAGAGATGGGGTTTCGCCATGTTGGCAAAGCTGGTCATGAGCCCCTGACCGCAAGTGATTCACCTGCCTTGGCCTTCCAAAGTGCTGGGATTACAGGCATGAGCCACAGTACCCGGCCTAGAATATTATTCTAATTTCTAAAGAAAGATTCTCCAAGAAATGCACAGCACTTAGTAGCAATGGCAATTTTTTAAATAAGGTGCAAATTATCTTTCTTCCTTGGCCCTGGATGATGATTGTGTCCTTTGGTTTAGCCTCTTGTATGTGCAGTTTAGGCAAAGCAACTGCTACCTTCTATTTCTGTTTCTACCTATATAACATTTTTCTTATGGGGATCAGATTTCTCAGGAGGCAATCCAATGTGTTATTGCTAGTTACTTCCTTTTCAAATTTCTCTCCTCCATACACACATATTCATTCATCTTACACATATTTATTATCTTTGTATGCCAGACATAATCCTAGGGATGCATCTTGGGATATGTGAAGAAGCAAAACCAACACAGATCCTTGCCCCTGTGGAACTATATTCTAGTAGGGAGAAAGGTCAAAAATTAATAAGCTTATCTCGACTCTGGATACATTGACAAATCTATTGATAAATGGAAAAGTTTCTGGCACATTGTAGTTATTCAGTAAATTTTCTTGCTTTGAGAAATTGTTTTATTGCTAGGAAACACATAAAAATGGTTATATTTCTACTGATGGAAACTGAATCCAAAGGTTGGACTAGATTTGGATGATTGAATAAAGATAAGAAAATACCAGCTAATGGGATCATGCTAGGCATTGGAAGATACCTTCTTTGCAAGAGGTCAAGACTGACAATATAATCCCTTCTTAAGTTTTTCAAAATTTGTACCTTAATTTAGTAGGTTTTTGTAGTTGGAATTTCTGGGGGAGGGCATTAGGGATGGGTGGAAACCCAATACCATTTTGACCAAGCACAGATTTAAACATATTCTTAAATAATGGGACCTGATATCTGTTTAAAAAATTTAATCATAAAAATATTCTTGACTAAATACTATAGGCCATCTGTAAGCTTCCATTTTCTTTTTGGCTTTCATAAAATAATGGACATTTCAAGCCAAAGGCATTAGAGATACTCTGATCTTTTTAATCTCTTCTTGGAATTTGATAACCCCTTGAAAATCTGCTGAAAGCCATAGAGCCTGTCACTCCAAAATTTTATATATACATGCATTCTGCTCTAAATTTGAGGTAATTTGTAGAACCCATGAATCTCTTCAGTGGCTCTCAGATCTGACCTAGGTGTAGTCTACTCTGTTCATTTTACACATGAAAATATAGGATGCAAGTAAGTTTTGATTTATATAAGACCACACAAGTAGTGAATGGCAGCCTAAAAATCAAAAAGTCTAATTCCTGCCTAGTCTGAATTCTTTCCACTCAGTACCCATTTCTATTTGTCTAGAGATGCATTAAAAATCACCCCAACACTCAGAGGCTTAAACAACAATTTGTTATTCTCTTCTACTCCTGATGTTTGATTGGGTTAAACTGGATGAGTCTCACCTGGAATCTCTTACGGCATTGTAGTCAGATCACAGCAGGGCTGAAGTCATCTGAAGGCATGGCTGGGCTGGATATCCAAGATAGTTTCTTTACTTATATGGCTGACATGTCTGCTAGGTTGGCTGTAATAGCTGTAAGCTTGGTATCTTTCTTTTCCCTGCAGCCTCTTTACATGGTTAGCTCTTACAAAGCATGGCAGTCTCTTACAGGGCAAGTGACTTCCTCCAAAGTGAACATTTCAGAAGACCTTGACAGAAGCTGCAAGATGTATTATGACCTAGCCTTGGAAGTCATGCAGCATCATTTCTGCTGCATTTTATGGGTCTAAAAGTGAGTCACAAGGCCAACACACAATCTTAAGAGGATGCGAGTCCATAGGGGTATAAATACTGGAAAGCATGGTTCATTAGGGAGCCATCTTTAGAGGCTCCTACCCAGTTAACTGGGTACCACCTACCCAGTTAAGTGTTGGCCATATCTGTCTTTTGGGAGAGAACTTCTTTAATAACATAGGAATTTACTTGCAAGTTATTCAAAATGTGAATATTTAAATTGTAATATTGAAAATGATATATTTTTCAATAGAGTCCATAATTTTTTTTTACTTAATATTAAAATGGAGGTCATAATACCTTAAAGAAATAATCTCAGGGAATTAAGAGCTTGGATATTTTGTCTTTTATATCCTTTTATTTTGAACTAGACCTCAAAAATATATAGGCAGATTTAATCCAAGCTCTGTACTAGGATGTCCATCTATGCTTCCTGGTAATTGAATTCCACTGACTGACATAATTAGGCCCTATCTGTTAAACCTGTTGTGTCAAAGTGTTCTTGAGTGTCTTCATTTACATATTTCCAACATTGCAGAAACAATCATAATAGTTGGTTCTGTCAAGGCCCATTGTAGAATGCTTTTATTCTCTGATTGACGGTGGTAATAATTGATACTATGTGTCCTTTATATTAGAGTAGTTGTTTATTTGGCATAATATTTTGCAAAATGTGCACCGAAAATCCTTAAAAAGTGTTTTGGTAAAAGTACCATCATCCATTTTTCACTCTTGTCATCTCAAATGGTTTGGATCAAACTGTCCCTAAATTAGTAGACTAGAAAAATAGCAATC